TAAAAATTTCACCAACTAAACAAGAGGCGCAACAAAGTAGCAGATCACAGCCACACGCTGCCCACCTCAACAACAGGAGCGAGCCGCCCAACGGTCGGAATCTCCGCTTCAGAAGCCACACCAGCCTGGCCAACGGCCCGGGAAGTCGACCCAACGACAGCCTCCACCTACGAGGAACGATCCCAACTCAGAAACACTAAGCAAAAGCATGCAAAGGAAAAGCTAACAAGGTGACAAATAGTCCCTACCCCTCGACCAGCAGCCTGCACAGGCACTCCAGCAGAAGGGCGGAGGGGCTCGATATCTGGCTCCGCCACCCGAGCCCCCCCTCCGATAGAGAGGTCCCAGCTGAGCCCGCCGCCTCGACACCGAAGGCCCCTACAAACAACCCCCTTCGCCTCGTGAGGGGCAGCGACTCCCCCGATCTCCGCCGGGACCCTTTTCCTCTTCCGGTTTATCTTCAGGGGGAAACCTCCTCCCCCTGGACCTCAGGACCCTCAAGCTCGGCCACATTGTAGCCATAGCGCTGCTTCCAGCCACGCCACAAGTCTCTTCCCACAATACCTAAGTACAGAAATTAGAGCACATCAGCAGGCATAAAACCCCAACAGCTAGACGAAAACAACAAAATACGCACCCTCCAAGTCTCTCTCCCTGTGCGCCGAACGCTCGAGCGACAGGATGAGCTTGCAGTCCAGCGGACGAGGAAGTGCCTTCAAAGCTTCAACAGCAGCCGTCTCCGACGGCGTTAACTTCGACGGATCCACCCCATGAAACCCAACAGGGTCGTGGCACCAATAGAAAGGAAACCTTGGCAGCCCGCCAAAGTAGAATCCCCCGTCCTCCAAAGGGTTGACACCAGCAAGAGTAACCCGAAAAAACTCCTGCCTATAATTTTTATATGAAGGGGAGTAGGGGGTAAATAGACCCCCCTCCTTACCTCCATTTAAAGACAAGGTCCCGTACGTAGGACCATCCGCCTTTAACTGGTAAAAAGAAAGGAAGACCGGCAGGGATACCTCCATCCCTAGAACTCCACTCAAGATCTCGAACGCCCTCAAAAAGCCCCAGCTGTTGGGATGCAACTGACTGGGGGCCGCATTAATATAGTTCAAAAAATCACATTCGAACTGCGTAAAGGGAAGGCAAACACCCAAATCTCTGAAAAAGCTCTCATATACATAAAATGAGGGGGAATTAGCAGACTTTTTCATATACACACCCTCGCCAGCCGAACAAGGCTCTAGTCGGACCATCCGAGAGACGGAGGGGTCACAAATCCTGTGCGTCTCCCACAGCGCATCGACCTCCAGTTTCGAATCAAAGACACTCGCAAACCTGGCCATTTCGACCAGGAATGTCCAGCTCTGAGTCTCCAGGCGGAGGCACCCCTTTTGCCTCGACGGCGACCACCGCCTTGCCACGTACCCTACCCCTAGTGGAGGCAGAAGACTTGCCGCCATAACCACCAGCCATCGAGAAAACACAAAGAAAATGGAAACAAGGAGCAAGCAAAGACGAGACGTGCGCAAGAAGCCGAGAGACAGAAAAAGAGTAAAACGAAAAGGGCAAAGGCGCGAGAAAGGGAAAAGTCTCTCCCCGAAATTCAAAACCGCCAGGCTACTTGTCGACAAAGGGGCACGCCTGACAAAACATTAAATGCGAGCCATCATCGCTTAACCGCCATTTCCTTTAGTGCGCCGCTCGCACGTTTCAGAAGTGAACAGCCGCGCCACGTGGCGAAGCTCCAGATAGCTTACGCACTAAGTCACTCCCCCTCTAGCAAGCTCGGTCTTAACTCCTCAACCTACGGCTTTCGGAGCTCGGGGGGCTAGTGTACTGGCCGCATCCCGCATCCGGGCTCTAAGCCCGGACTAGCGAGACAAAGGTCATACCGGGCACGCGCTGAACAATAACAGCCCGGAGCCTGGACAGATCACACCCGAACCCGGGGACCTCATCTCAGGCCCAGGGCCCAACACAACCCTAAACCACCTCAAGGTACGTGCATTATATATATGAGACTATTATTCGTGCAAACCCTAACTTTGGCATCGGAGTCTCTTTTGTAGGTACCACCCCCATCTTGGAGCATCAGTGTACCAGTGAAGGAGGCTCACCAATCTTACCTGGCGGATCAGCTCCACAGCAGATTTCTGGTAAGAACAGTTTTATATGTACAGGACCCCATCACAAATCTTATTGAATCATACTCATTTACAATCCCCCTCCAAATCCTTTGATAGAATCATTGTTAGAGAGAGTTGGGTTTGCTAAAGTTGTAAAGATTAGACACTTCAAGATTGATCATTCTTTAATCACATATCTTATGAAAAGATGGAGTATAGAAACTCACACATTTCATCTTCCAATAAGGAATGCACGATAACTCTACAAGATGTTATAGTACACCTAGGTATAAAAATTGACAAGAGACCTATTACTAGACCTGGTTATTTAGATTGACAAGAGACCTAGTTATTTACAAGATGTTTGGCGATGTTATATAGAGACTTGTGTCATACAACTTATCCAAACTCTCGCACAATTGGTGGGTGTGCAACGTTGTTGCAATTTTGGGCATGGTATTGCATGCCTTTCATTGCACCACGAGTTAATTGTGAACCATCATATCCACTTGCGGTCAGGTAAACAATAATCATTCATTATGCTATATGTACTCATATACCAAATAGACTAAAATATAAATGTATGTGACTAGATGGGGTGGACGAGGGATAAATACACTAGAATCCCTCATAGTGACATCATTAGATATAGATCAAGAATTAACCACGTGACTCAAGAGCATGTTAGAAAATACTCTTGTGTGTTACTCAACTTATTTATATTGTACTAAGTTTAATTTTTACAGTTTGATGGATGTCCTATAAAGGTTTAGAAAACATTTTGCCACGTACTACATTTCATAAGTCCAATGTGTGGACAACTTGTATTGCTTTAGTTTATTTTTCAATCATTGAATGACAACAAACTAATAGAGTTAAACTACAATTTGGATTGTGTTAAGATGTTTCAATTCACCACAAAATTTGGATTATCTTCACCACATGGACATGAGAGGAAACTACTACACAAATTAGGCTAAAACACACACGGAATGGCTCAATATTTGGCAAAATAGGTAACAACAATCTTAGTGGGAACACTTACCCAAGGCCCTCTAATGCACAGACGAGAATACGTAGAATAGTATCGTGTCAATTCTATTCATTTTCTATTTGTACAACAACAATTTCGATTTAGTAGTTGAATGCAACACAAATTATCATGTACAAATGTCAACTAGAACTAGGCAACTCAACCTCCTATTGTCGACATAATAATAACCAAGGAAATAAATCATCTCATTATTCTCTGCATCGTCATTCATTTGCATTCAATCCATCATAATAATTGCTAACAAATAATTTAGACTATCATCAAAGCTCTCTTACATCTCCTTCAAGAGATGAGTTTATAAACAACTTGTTCGGTGCAAACCTTAGTATGCCAAAATTAGTCCAGACTTATCTTTGATGTATGTAACCAATTAGTGTTCCACCAATTCACCAACTAGAGCCAGATAGCTCTTCAACATTGTATGACACCAATTGTTCAACTTATTAGTCATCGTTGTCTCTCTTTTTGATCAATTTAAATTCACAAGAGAATGTGCATCAATAACAATCAACAATTGGTAATTAACAAAATCAAACCCAACAATATATACAATCACGTCAAAATTAAGGACATATCAAACGACAATCGTCGTGTAAAATTAGACACTATTATGACGACTAATCATTTTTATTAACATGTAATTTTAATTTAAAATTTTAATCAAATAACATTTTTCATCACTTTTCAATTTAATTAATATTATTTGATTATAAATAATTAATTTAATTATGAAAATAATAATTAAAAATTTATCCAATTAATTATCATTACTTAATTATTATCACAATATTTATTAAAGTAATTATTTTAAAAATATTTTTAACTAGATAAATCATATTATTTTTTTTATCACCGATTATCATCACAGCTTAAATTAAATTAATTTTGACAAAAAATTATTTTTAAATTTATAAATCAGATTATTTTTCTAAGGTATAATCCTGTGAATTTATAGAATAAAAAATTTAATTATAAATTAATAATTTTATTTACTAATTATTTAATTATGTTTTATGAGTTAACTTAATTAAATTAATCTTTCAAAATTTAAATTTAAATTTAAAATTAAATAAATAAAAAAAGTTGCCGTAAGAAATTCGGATGGTCAATCCCAATTTCTCAACAACATATATCATTAAAAAAAACAAATTTCCTTTTCAAGAATCAAAATTAAAAAGGGACATTCTTAAAAGTATAATAAAATGCGCTAATTTAATAAGTATTATACAACTTGTATTATTATTATACATATTTATTTATTTTGTAATAAAAATAAAAGTCACTTTTTATCTATTACTTTTTATTTCTATTTTATTAGGACTATTTTAACATTAAATTACATTATATATGCATCAATTATCCTTTAATTTTTGTTTTTTAACATCTCTTCTCTCACTTTGCTTAACATTTCTCACCAATTATTTTTACGTACACTCACTTATATTTACTAACATAACTTTTCTTTTCATTTTATTTTCTTTATTTTTTATTTTACAAGAAATACATCGAGGCCCCACTTGTTTATATAATTTGTGTTCTATAACAAAAAGACATCTCAAAATGGAGGCTACAGCTACACTTACAATTTTTCAAACAAATGTATCAAAGAATGTTTTCAGAATGTAATGTAAGAAAAATTAGAAACAAAGTAATTCGATGATTGTACTTTTTAATTAATGAATAGATTGAATTTTTGTGATAAATATTATATTATAAATATTAAATTGTGATACTTTATCTAAAAAACAACTAAGAAAATGTGGATTATGAAATCGTCTTGAGCATGAAATGCCACTTTATAGAAGTAGATTCTAGATAAGTTAAGAGACAAAAGTAAAATATGCTGATTTTGGGTTGCGAAACCCCATATCCAAACGGGGAAGAAGAACAAGAATCTTGTCCATGAAATGGTTGTTTCTACCGTGCCATCTATAACGGCAAACCTACACCACTTGTCAAATCCACCTTCTAACTCCAATGATTCCCATCTTCGTAGAACGCTAATCTCACTCCTTAACGAGAACCGCAAGAACCTGAAACATGTTCAATCAATACACGCTCAAGCCATAAAAACCAGAACTTCACAAGACCCTTTTGTAGCCTTCGAACTTCTTCGCCTATATTGCAAGCTGAACACCATCCACCACGCCACCAAGCTCTTCCGCTGCACCCAAAACCCAAACGTGTACCTTTACACTTCCCTCATTGATGGGTTTGTGTCCTTTGGCTCTTACAACGATGCCATCGACTTGTTTTGCCAAATGGGTCATAACCTTGTTATGGCTGATAGCTATGCGGTCACTGCAGTGTTGAAAGCCTGCGTGCTCCAACGCGCTTTGGAAAGGGCCAGAGAGGTTCATGGGCTTGTTTTGAAATCTGGGTTGTGTTTGGATCGGTCCATAGCGTTGAAGCTGATTGAGTTGTATGGGAAATGCGGGGTGTTGGAAGATGCGTGGAAGGTGTTTGGTAAAATGCCTGAACGAGATGTCGTGGCGTGTACCGTTATGATGGGTTCGTTTTTTGATTGTGGGAGGGTTGAGGAGGCGATTGGGGTGTTCAATGAGATGAGGACGCGGGACACTGTGTGTTGGACGGCGGTGATCGATGGGTTGGTGAGGAATGGGGAGTTCAATAGGGGGTTGGAGATGTTTAGGGAGATGCAGGTGAAGGGTGTGGAGCCTAATGAGGTTACCTTTGTTTGTGTGTTGTCTGCCTGTGCTCAGTTGGGAGCATTGGAGCTCGGTCGATGGATTCGCGCTTACATGCGCAAGTGTGGGGTTGAGGTTAACCGGTTTGTCGCCGGCGCGTTGATCAACATGTATTCGAGGTGTGGTGACATTGATGAGGCACTATCATTGTTTGATGGGGTGAGAATGAAAGATGTGTCTACTTATAATTCCATGATTGGGGGTTTGGCTTTGCATGGGAAGAGCATCGAGGCTGTTGAATTGTTTAGGGAAATGCTTGAGGAGAGGATTAGGCCAAATGGTATAACATTTGTTGGGGTTTTGAATGCTTGTAGCCATGGAGGGTTGGTGGATCTGGGTTGTGAGATATTTCATTCAATGGAAACGGTTCATGGGGTTGAACAAGAGGTGGAGCACTATGGCTGCATGGTTGACATTCTTGGTAGGGTAGGTAGGCTTGAAGAGGCCTTTGACTTCATTGGGAGGATGGGAATAGAAGCTGATGATAAAATGCTTTGTTCTTTATTAAGTGCTTGTAAAATCCATAGGAACATAGAGATAGGAGAAAAGGCTGCAAAACTTTTGAGCGAACATTCTAGGATAGATTCTGGATCCTTCATCATGCTGTCAAATTTCTATGCTTCTTTGGGAAGATGGAATTATGCTGCAGATGTTAGAGAAAAGATGGAGAAGGGAGGAATCATAAAGGAACCAGGTTGTAGTTCTATTGAAGTCAATAATGCAATTCATGAGTTCCTTTCAGGAGACCTTAGACACCCAGAGAGGAAAAGAATCTACAAGAAGTTGGAGGAGTTAAACTATTTGACAAAGTTGGAAGGTTATTCACCAGCAACTGAAGTTGCTTTACATGATATTGATGATAAAAAGAAGGAATTGGCTTTGGCTGTACATAGTGAGAGACTTGCTATATGCTATGGATTAATCTCAATTGAAGCTTACACGACTCTTAGAATTGGGAAAAATTTAAGGATATGTGATGATTGCCACGCAATGATCAAGCTCGTAGCAAAGATTACTAGGCGGAAAATTGTGGTTAGAGATCGCAATAGATTCCACCATTTTGAAAACGGAGAATGTTCTTGTAAGGATTACTGGTGAGTAATAAACAGTTTTTGTATAAATTGAAAACAAATGTTAGAGTTCAATTGATAAAAGAGAAAAAGACAATAAGAAATATTGTTTTCTTCAATATAAACAAGAATATTAATTGTATTTTTATATAATCTGTATTATTATAGCTTCTATAAACAGATTAAAAAAACAACTGCAACAATATTAAATGAAAGGATAAAAATATATGAGAACTTCATGCTATTTGGGACGTTGAGAGAGATTAGAGAAAGATTAATTTAGATATAATGAGTGATATATCATCATAAGAAAGAAAAAAGGTATTAAATAGGTGTTTTTTTTTTTTTATATATATAGGACGACCAATTATTTTCTAAATCAAGTCTCTTTTATTTTTTATTTGTAGGTTTAAGACATTTTGTATCCTTATATCTTAATTAATAAAAATATTTAAAAATTATCAATGTTTAGTAGATCAATCGATTTGCATTTGATTTTTAAATTTGAATTCGAGTCTTATCTTTATAAAATTGATTAATTTTTAAACTTAAAAATTTAAAGATAAAATTATCTAAAAATTATATATACTAAATGAGACAATCTCTTTTATTATATGTTATTGATGTAAGAATCTCATATGTGGATGTAAGAAAATAAAAAATAAAGATAACTCCTCCGTCTCTCTGAGATCCGATTTTTCCCGATTTTCTAGGAGATGGAGAGAAAGACATGTTTTTATACATAGTACTCATTATTATTATGAAATTATCTTCAATAGTAACTTTTATTTGAAAAACTTCCACCACTATTCTTATATATAACATATCATACCCATGAACATTTCACAGACTCTGTTCTTAGCTTAAATTATTCTGTTTTACAAAAATGTATTTTAGCAGCAGCAGGGAAGTTGTATATTGTCTTAAGTAATTAGATATAAAATTTCAAATTATTAGAAACTAAAAGGGTGGTATTACTTTTGGCATGTTACATAAATACATTGTTGTCCCATCATTCGTGTTATCTTTCAAAAATGAATTAAATTATGGTATACTTATGGTTGACTCTAAAGTATATATGACGTTTGATATAATCTTTAAAGCAAAAATACTAGCATTCACATCTATCAATGAAAATAATGATATAAATATTAATATAATATAGTGGCGATTCTAAAACTATATTATATAATATTGTAACTTTTAAAAAAATCTAATTTCATAAAATAAAATTATTATAGTGGCAATTTTAAAACTACCACTAGGTGGAGCCAACTATTTTTGGACAAAAAAACAATACAAAAAGGGTATAAACTTATGAACATTTAGATTAACATGAAATCTAGACTTTCTAAAGTAAATCATGAGCGATTCGATTGGCTTACTTATAAAGAAATTTGACAGTAAAATTTGAATTTCTAATCAAAATCTCCTCACACTTCCTCAAAATAAAGTTAGTTTCATAATTTATATATTTTTTTTATATGTTACTACTTTGATAATTTTCTGATAGTCAGATTCAATGACAAATTACGTGAGATTCATAATGATGACTCAAGTCAATGACTCAATGCATAGAATAAAGTCATTGTTTCTGTCTCCAAACATTTAATATTACTTTGATACCAATTGGTTAAAGTTGAAAAGAATTTGTCACAATGAACACATATGCAAACTCCATATCCATAGTGTCCAAAATTAGTAAAAACATCAACATTGATATTGCAATTAGTACTCCAACAAAACATTGACCATGATGAAATTGCATGAGTCAAGATTGGAGTATGAGGTTTATTTTTTCATTGTCTAGTGCAAACTTTCAATTATGAATCATTTACAATGTCAGGTGGAAGTGAAAGTAGTTGTAAACTCTACATTATTTCACACATTATCATTTCTCTCCTTCCATATACATCAAAACCTAGAAACCAAATTTCTCTTCTTCTTCTTCTTCTTTTTTTTTTTTTTTTTTTTTTTTTTTTTTTTTTTTTACTGCTGTCAAATTTTCAAGAGTCTTAAAAAAAATGACATCATTGAAGTCTCCGTCCTATCTCCAATAATTTACTTGTATATATAAAGCTTAAGATAATAAAGTCAAAATGCAAAGAACATTATTTGGATTACTATTCAAAGAAAATATGAGCGTAGGGACTTAGCTAATATATATAATGACTCATTGCCTTGTCATTTGCCAAGTTCTTGAAATTGTTTTGGCGTCAAATTTTATTGATCCAAGATCAAATGTGTTTCAAATGAAAAAAGAGCATACTAGTTGTTTCATGTATATTGTATACTTATGTGCATAACCTATTGTGAGAATAACTTTTTTGAAAAGCCCTTCTCTTCCTCTCTATCTTTTTCTCTTTTTAACCAAGAAAAGTTCTCTTATTAAGCCCTTTATTTTCACTAAGTTTACTAAGGTAAAAGATAACTGATTTTCGTTCAGTTACGAGCAATTTTGTTTTCTGCACCCTGTAGACTAATATAATTGGTGGCAACATCCTAGCTACTATCTACTCCGGAACTAAATGCATCAATACCGAATTACATGACGAAGTTGTGCTTTTTTCCTTCGCCCTTTTCTTCACAAAAGGTACAATAATCCCTTTTAACAGAAACGCAATTCAGAATTATATAATTTGAAGTTTGCAATAGTTTCTTGAATCAGTTGAAAGTTGAACATGCCTGGAGATAAAAGCAAGACAGTTCTTTCTTGAACTGATATCTTCCCTATTGTCTAATCCACAATTTCTATTTCTTTTTAATAGAATTTTCACCCCCTCTCCTAAACACTTGTTCATCCTAGTTAGAAGGAAAGAACTAAGTAGCTACATGTTTTACAAAAAGTTTATTGATATGCCTCTATGTTGTCATCTCCTCTTTGCTATTTGAAAAGTCCTTTTCAAGAAATGATTCGCAATTCGATCGTTTCTATAGCACAACACCCTCAATATTGTGTTGGGGTCAGTTCTACTCCACTTTCTTGTAGTTGGTGGCATTGGCAACTTCTGACCATTCCCAAATACTCCGACACCCTTTATCTCACTTGATAAGGTAGTCAAGTTTTCCATCAATTTTTCAGTACTCATTCCCATTAGTGCTATCACTCCCTCCACTACCTCAGCCTCTTTCTCCACCACATTTTCTGCTATCAGTTCTTCTCCACAAGAGTGGAATACCTGCTTCAAACTGTGAAAGTCCTCTTGTATGTTTTGGTGATCAGATTCATTGAACACCCTGGTGGTTCCACCAGCAAGCAAAACCGTGAGGAATGCATCAAATGAGGCCTTCATAACTTCCTTCACAGCAAGTGACTGAGCTCTTTCTGTCAGAATTGCTGTCATTAGTTTGATGTTATGCTTAAGGATTGTCAACACGTTGTTGATCCGAGAATTGACTACATCGCCGACGTAGAGGCTGTCGTAGAAGAAAGTGCTTGAGTCCAAGAACATGAGACGATAAGAAGCAACTTCTGAGACATGCTGGCAGGCTGCTAGGATGGCAGTGTTGGTTGTTTCAAAGTATGAAGTGCTGTTTGTGGAACTGTGGCGATTTGAAGGAACAATTCCTTGTGTTAAGGAGAGTGATTTGTCAAGTGAGGGGATATGAGAAAGGAGATAGTGTAAGGTGTTGACACGAATGTAGAGGCGTTGCGTTCCACGGCTAGTGCATGAGTGAGGATGATTAGCTTCATATATTCCATATATGTGTGGATCTTCACAACTAACACTGCAAGGACTAGCTATCTTCCACAGCTTGTGAAACTTTGAATTCCTGTTGCACCTGGTTAGTGGGGGAAGAGTGGGAGTGTAGTTTTCTTTCAAACCTGAGAGGCATTAGATCAAAATATGAAAAATCAGAATGTTATAATCTTTGTTGCTTCCTAGTCATTGTGACTTGATTAAAATAACAAGTACTATTAGTATAACATTTCCTATCTTTTATTTCAAAATTCAAACAAAACAAGTCTGTGGAGCTTTTTAGAGTAAACAAATTTAGCTTTAAGAGTACTTACCACATGCTGCAACAAACATAACGTAATCACGGAAGATTTTTTGTAACCCATCAGCAAGTTCTTGAACTAAATCTTCAGTTATTGGTATTGGAATTTGAAAGAATTCTTGCACAATCTTCTTGGACAAATTCATCAGCTCTACTACTGATTTTGCACATGGCTCTGATTTAGACTTTGGATTCCATGCCTGAATAAAGAAGAAAACAATGCACAAACTAACTTCAAAACAAAAATATATCACATAATTTTCTTAATGCACAATATGTTGTGTCCTCCCTCCTGTTTTATTTGTAGGAAAGAGGGTAAAACTTACTTCATTTTCTTTTGCTCTCTGCAAACACTCTCTCCCTTTGTTCAGTGATTCATCTATCCATTTCTTAACAAGAATCAATATGGTTGGCTCAACTTCAAAAGGAACCATCTCTCTCACTACTGTTTTGCCACCATCCTCACAATCAGCTGAATCTTCAACTACCATTTGAACCAAAACATCTTCTAGCATTTTAGACCTCTGCAATACTAAAATTACCTCAGCTACTATTGATACGGTCGTTTCACTTAAAAATTGTTTTAGCACTTGCCCATAACAATTGTTAAGTGTCAATGCTGCTACTGCAGCTGCTATGGTGTGCCATTTCTTTAATATTGGACTATAATTTTGTCTCTCTCTCATTGCTAAATATTCTGTCTCCTGAGCTAATTGAAACATCAATTCACCTATTTCATGCTTTGATTCCAATTCAGCACATTTTGCATTAGCTGCTTCCATTGCCTGCAATCATCAAAAAACAAAGATATGATTATTTTTTTTCACTTCTGAACTAAAAAGCAGAAAGTTCAACAAGTAAATAACCATTATGTATAAAAAGTCCATTAGGCTTAAACATGTTTTAAATCTGTTCAAATACAATAAATTTTAGTCCTTTAAAAATACAAATAAAATACAGGTTTTTAGTCTTTGGAGAGCAACTAAAAATGCAGCTTTTCTGAAATGTGAGAACAACAAATTAATAAAATTTAAACACAGATTAAAATAAAATATAAAAATCATATTTTTTAATGACCAACTGACCAAGAATATATTTAAGCCAAATTATATGCATACGGGTCTACATGATGCTTCCAAGACCAATTTTTGTCAATATTAAAATAATATTTAAATAAAAGAAGTCATGTTTTACGAACGTATATTAATTTTTAATTATTTATTTTCAGACACTGTGTAAATTATGCTCATGGAAAATATATATATATATATATATATTCTTCTAACATCAACATTTGGGATTGTTCCTACCTTTTGAAAAGCATTTGTGATTGAAGAACGAATATAATCATCAACTTGATTCTCGGAGGAATCCACCTTAGTTTTATCTCCATTCTCTTGCCCTCCTCCATCCGAACTTGTAACATCCCCCAAAACCTTGGATGCTAAACACACCACTGGAAGAAGGTTTTCAATTTGTCCGATATCTGCTCCCTGGAAATACTCATAGTAGTTAAGCAATCTCTTATCTGCCCACTCCTGCAGTGAACTAAGAACAGCTTTCAATATCTCTACATAAAAGGACTCCCTTTCTTTCTTGGCATCATTTGCCACCTCATTCAACATGGCATGTGAAGCACAAAGAAGATCAGGCTCCACCTGCTCAGTTTCCACATATTGTTGAAACAACACCCATGTGAACAACACATTGTGAATTGGCCTATTGATCCCTAGTGTTGACCATGTTTTCTTTATCAACTCAAGTTGCTCATCAACCTCATCAAGCACCGAAGTCTCATCCTTAAGGTCAAAAATGGATTGGAGGAGGGAAATGTAGAGGTGGATGTTGACAGGGTAGCCATTGGCCCAGTGGCAAATGTTGGTGGTGCTGTCATTGGGGCTTCTCATGGATAACGACACCACTGAGTTGCTGAAGGTTCTCATTGTGTCTGAGTTTTTGCCTGTGTCTAGTGGCTTGAATTCTGCACTGCGGATTATGCCCCTGAGGTTTATTGCGAATGTGTTTGTCTTTTCTACGGGGATTGAAGGGTGCAAGAGGAGACCTGCTTCTAGGAGCTTGAGTTGCCTCTTTTGCCACAAGTGGTACTCATGGGAATCGTTGAACTCTGAAGGCTTTAGGTGGCGAAGGAGTTCCAAAGGGAGAATGATTGTTTCTGCTTGTCGACCAAGCTGCAATTCAAGTGTTTTGAAAGAAAAAAAAACAAGAACTTTTCATTAGTGTACATGTGTTACAAGAGCCTTTTATATGTTGTTAGATTCATTGTTTTCTTAATCCATCTTGTCCACTTTGTTAATTTGGATAAACTACTCTGTAAATACTTATGGATGAAGAAAATAAGATACTAATTTTAAGCATTTGCAAAATCATGCAGAGCAAACACTAGAGGCAATATTCTCTATTTATAGATCCGGAACTTCTCTCAGAGAATGTGATTTCCTGATACATGTGATCAAATTAAATGAGTTTCTAACACCTCAGATATAATCAACCATTTAATGTCAAGTGACCGAGAGCTTTTTTAAATATATATTTAGAAAGATTTTTTAGAATTTCTTTACTAAAATTAAAAAATAATTTTAATAAAGAAATTCTCAAAAATGCGTCTTACTTACATTTAAACAAACTCGAAATACATTATTGGAGAGACTAAAATCAATAAAAGATAGTTATTCTTTTTTTTTTTCTTGAAACAGTACATTATTAAAATTTATTACATGAAGAAAATTAGCAAAATAGTCCTTTTATTGGCAAAACACTCTTATTAAAGATTAGCTGATAACTCAATTCAACTAACTAAAAATAGGGACTACATTGCCATTTCAACCCAAATATTTGTCATCAATCTAGTCATTGATCATTATGCAAAACTAGAACCACAGCCAAAAAAGGTAAAAATAACATTCAGAACCCCACCCAAAAGAAACCAACAAACATTTTAAAGAACAAAAGATTATAATTTAATTTTAACTTACTATCAACATAAATATTTTTATACTATAGATTCCTTGAATATAACTTAAATATTAGAAAACTCAATAATCTATTTTACACTACAATAATGATTTAATAATGGTGTAAAAAAACATTTTTAGTGCATTTTAATTAAATTTAAAAAAATCAAATAAAAATTTGTTTTCCTTATATAAGACATATAAGAAGTCGCATTGGTTTAAATGGAATTAGATTAGATTTCTTTACGCAAGTATTAGATCCAAGTATATATTTTCGATGGAAAAAACGTGGTTCACTAAATTAAATGTCCAGTTTCTAGAGCTTAGTCTAATGAATATTTGGCACAAATAACGTAACTAAAAACAATTGTTCGCATGCACATGTTGTCTTACTTGGCCAACAAGCGTCCTCACGAGGGTTTTCCTCAGGCGGCTGTCGCTCTGCTCCGTCACCCCCATCTGCAGCCTCATGACTTCCGCCATGGTCATCGTCCGCCGCGGCACGCCCCGAGACCGGGGACTCCTGTCGGCCACCGGAGACGCCGGCGCCGCCGACCCCATCATCCTCTGAGACAAGGAGCCTTTCAGCATCTTCAACCCTAGCGCTCGCTTCACCCTACTCGTCTGCAACGCCGGCGCCGGACTCGTCCCCCCACCGTTCCCCTCGTGCTTAGAATAAAACGTGATCGCGCTCCGGCCACCGAACCCCGGCGAGGACCGACACGCCGTGAAGAAGATCTCATACGCCGTTTCCCTTATGTCATCGTGGTCAAGACCTTCAAGCTTGTCAAACGGCCACGCTAGGTCGCTTTCCTTGTCGTGGAGACACACCCTGTAACAAAATAGTACTTAACATTTTGTTAGAGATGATACATGCATGCATATGATCTTTCTTTTCATTAATAACATGACATGATTTCTAAATAAATTTCTCCACAGTTGCTTATGTTTGATACGTAAAAAACTTGAAAATGAAATTCAGGATTCTAAATTATTGATCCATTCGCGGTGAATCTAAAACCTTTTACGTGATCAAACATTTTTCTAAATTAAAATCAACATGTGCATGTTTAATATATGAAAAAGTTAAATGGGATTCATGATTGTAGTGAATTTAAAGTGATGTATATATAATCAAACTTTTTTATAAATTAAATTCAACTATTGCATGTATGATACATAAAAACGTTAAATGAAATTCATGGTTCTATGTATTGATATAGTCACAATTGTAGTTCTATTGGTGAATCTAAAATTCTTTACGTTGCGATCACAGTTATGATTTGTAGACAACAATTTAGGACTCGGATGAAAGAGTCTTTATGAAGAATGAATACATGCGTTGATTTCAATTGATAAAAAAAATTCATTTTATACTTTTAGATAGTTTTGATAAATAGCTAAGATTAAGTTTGATCTTGAAAAATTAGATTATGAAAGAATATTCTTTAAATACTAAAATTACATATTGAATTTGGATTTTTGTATCCATAATTTAAAAAGTTTGTGCGATTATTGCCGAAGAACTGAAATAAAATATAGGGTAGAGCTATGACACAGTAACTATATGGGGTCTACCCAATGCTAGATGCAAAGACGCATAATAGATCGATAGAAACATTATGAGCTATCCCGTAATAAATTCAGTGATTGCTGATATTTTTTTCTTGATCCCTTCTCATTGCGATCATTTTTTATAATGTTTTTTGTCTTTAAAATGAAATAGTTTTGACATGATGGTTACCTTCGTTTGTTGGAATGGCAACCAAGATCACGATGATAATAGTGGTGGACGGAGGGCGATGAGGTGGAAGGGAGGAGGCCGGAGTCAGATTCATGGGAGGTGGGAGAGGGAAAGTTGGGGAAGGGTCCGGGGTAGGAGTCACGGCGGGAGTGGACATTTGTCGGCGGCGGCGAGAGGGGAGGGAACAGCGGGCCGGGTAGCGATTCACGGCGGTTGTGGCCCCCGGTGCGGCGAGCGTCGAAAGCGGAGGGAGGGAAGGGATCCGGGGTGGGGTCATGGTGATGGAGGATTTGTGGCGGAGGGATGGAAATGGTGGGGGACAGTGGAGGGAAGGGGCCGGGAGCGGAGTCGCGGCGGCGGGCGTGGAGACCCATGAGGTGGTGGCATGCGACGCAAAATGTGGAGAGAGGGTGGTGGAGGCTGATTTGTTTGGTTTTTTTTTTAATATATACGGTGGAGAATGGAGAGAAAAAGAAAAGAGAGAGGGAAGTGATGAACTTGTGAATAGGATATTCTTGGCGGGTTTTTCTGTTAGTGACGGTTGTGATTTTGAGAAAGTGGTATTACTATATTGGTGATGATGATGCGTTGGGTTAGCAAAGTTATCTAAAATTTTCCTTGCCGTTTAAAAAAAGAAAACACAAATCAACACTTCTCAATTCTCAATGTCTTTCCTTCTATTGCTATTCCATAATCGATGTTCAATACCATGTTTTTAAAGATGGGTTTTATGATCATATCACGCTATCAATTTTTATAAATTATTAGTTATTTATGACACTACATTTTATTTTTGTTCTTGCCAAAATACAATTGAAATTTTTATTTTTATTTTACTTTTTTTTATAACTATGCAATTATCATATTTGAGATAATTGTGATAAATATATATTATAATTTAAAATAATTGTGACTAATAATTTTATGTACATTATGGTTGGTTGGAAGAGACCGAAGGGGAGCAAAATCTCTCTTCACCTAATTTTAATTTTCCTCTAATATTGAGAGATTTGGAGGGAATGGAAATTTTTTTTAATATAATGTCCAAAATATCTTTATTTTATATGTTTAGGGTTTAGAATTACATAGATATAAAGGTAAATTAATTTTTAAAATGCTTTTTATCCTTTTGAGAACCAGACAAGAAAAATGCCAGCCCTTATCCTTTCCCTTTTTATTAATCAAATATAAAATTTTTAACTCCTTCCCTCTTCTTTTCTTCCTTCCTTTCAACCAATCAGATTCGTAGTGTGTAATTATGATTACACATATATGTGTATGTGAAAAGTGATCAACTTACTCTAAGAGTAAATTAATATTCATGTTACTTAATAACTCGCATTTTATATCAAATTTCAACTGTACCATTGAATTTAAAGTTTTTAATGCATATATCAAATTTATGAATTTTTAAAATTTTTTGAACAATATTCTAAAAAGTATTTTATATATTAATTTGAATCTATAACGACATATTATATAGTTTTCAAACTTTGCAAAAATTTGTAGACTAGATCTACATATTATGAACATTTAATTTAATAGTCATATTGTTGAAATTTAATGTGCAACATGAGTTATTAAGTGGAGTAAATCTACTAATAAAGACTTACTCTTGTAGTAAGTGGATCCTTTCTACCCCTCTATGTGTATGTGTATGTGTGTGTGTATGTATATATATATATATATATATA